CATAATGAAATGAAGACGGGATTAACTTTGGAGCCAGCCCTAGAGTGTACGTGTACGTGCGAGAACGAGCGAGTCACCACACTTTTGCGCTGACTTTTTTTAGCCGAGCCCTCTCTCGGAGGCTCCTATTCGCCGTGCCTTCCTCTCTTCTTTCTCGGTCCAACTCGCAGCAATCGCGTTTGCTGTTCGCCCAGTCAAATTACCAGTATACCTTGGCACGAGCCCCAAACGCTCGCTTTACAAACCAACTTGTGCAGATCTGACTTTTCCACGAAGGCCCCCCCCTCTCGCCCCGACCCCCACCCCCCTCTCCCTCGTCTTTACTTCCTCATTATGCGCGATTTTCTTTCTCTTGCCCCGCTGCGCTATACTTGCCGTATTTAAATCTTTTTGCGCGTGCAGAGCTTGCAGTGCAATGACTTTTTGTCCCGCTTTACATTACGACCGAATCTCGGTCTGCCTGCTTTGCCTCGCGTATCTGTATACGTGCATCTTTGAACCATGTCCGTATTTAGCCTTTGACTCGCGAACCCTCCGCGTCTGATGACTCTGTGCGTATTTTTATTTTTATTTTTTATTTTTTATATTTTATTTTATTTTATTTTTTTTATCATGAATACCGCGGATACTACTTTTGACGTGAATGGACTTGCGCGCGGCGCTCACCGAATGAAAAAACGCCACACAAGCTACTTCAATACAATTTTTAATTTGAATTTCCTTTTAGTCCAGGAAGGGGAAGTCGTTCGAAGTCGCTTCTGCCGTGCGTCTATGTCTCCAAGATATTTTTTACATAACTGAAAAGGCTAATGTATAGATACATTCACGCCGTTTTTGAATTGGGTAGACAGCGAGGAAAAAAATAACAGTAGAAGTCGAGTAATAAATAAAGTAGCTGTATTGTTCGCTAAAAGAGCCCGCGCGCGCCTCTCTGAATTCCATTCTCATAATTTACGCAAAGTTGAATTGAAAATACCGAAGTCGCACGCGAGCGGTATAAGGTGCGTCACGCGCGTCTTTTGCGCCAAATGGTGAATTGGCCTTCTTCGAAGTGTAGCGCAACCGAAACCGCAGTGATGGGTTTTTTGTTCGAAAAAATTTCACGTGTGTACGCGAGACGAACTATGTACGCGACCAGAGTGGATCGCATGACTGCAAAATTGGACTTTGAGTTTGAACGAGAGTATATAGGTTTGACAGGAAATTGGATTGTGATTTACGATTAAATCATTGATCGAGTGTCGCTCGCGTTCACCGCGTAAATTTGGCCGGGCTTCAAGTGCTGTCGCTGACACCGGTAATTAAGTATTGATCAGTCGCCATTAAGTATCTCATGTAAACTCATCAAACATTCAAAGTCTAATTAATCCGAGTTGCCGCGTTCTTCTCCTCTACCACTCTTTCTCTCTCTCGTAAATTGCTCTTCTCCGCACTTTGAATAATGAAACGTGTATTTTGCAGTCGATTGCGCGTATTTCCCACGTGACAAAACGCCGAATTCGCGCAAAGGAAAAGTTATCGACGGGTGAAAAAAAGGTGGGGTGGGCGGCGCGTGTTAATTGATCGAATCGCCGGCGCACATCAGTGCGTGGCGCGCTCTCGCCAGAAGAGCTATTTCGGCGCTGCCTCGCGCGGCGATATTTAAAATATTACTCTCGGAAAGGTAGGCTCGTCCGATTTGAAAATTGGCTCTCCGGTCAAATCAAACGTCGGGCGCTGGTATTCGGTGCGCTCCCACTTCACGGTGCTATTGAATAATTCCAGCTAATTAAATAAAATTAATTTGATCCAGTGTCCGCCCCGAAAGTTCTAGCTGGCTATGCGCCGACCCGGTATTCGTTATATTCGCGTGCTCGGCGCGTTGGAAACAATGGCGCGCGCATAAGCGCTGGCTGCTGATTCGTAAAAAGCTCCCTCTCTCTTTATCGTCAAAGGGCTCAGCTGCACGAGCCGACGCGAGCGCGACCACAGAAAATGAGCAAGCTTGCGAGCTTCACACTCGATTTGAAAGGCGCGCATTTTCGGTTCGACTCGGTAATGACACGCCGGCTTTATCTCTTTTATTTGTCGCTCGAAGCTATCTGTATTCGGGAGGGCAAAGAGAAGAGGGAGCATTTTCGCTGGCGGCCCAATCGACCAGATGATCCGTTCGTAAAATTAGTCGGAATTGCGACGTGGAGTAAGGGAGCCAGAGGAAAGAAAAGACTGGCGTAAACCGCGCGCGTTTAGCCCCATTGTCGTAGTCATCCCTTCGCTACTACCAGACTGTTATATCCGCGCCGCTCGTTTTCTTATGATTACACGTTCCACACGAAAATTATCAATAACGAGGCTTGGCGCACTGATTTAATCGGCAGCCTGCCTTTATTATTCATTCGGAAAAATCGCTCGAGATGATTACACGCCGAGCGCGGCAAACAAGATGTTCCATATATATTCGCTGCGATAAATCGACGAGAGGCCGTCGACGTCGCTGCAGCGTTGTATGCCGTGGCGCACGTACTCTTTTATCCAATTTGTCGTTTTGTCAACGTCACACTCGCTCGTTAATAAGGCTTTCGTCGCGCGCGCCCGGCGCCTAGCTCTCGCTCTCTGTTTTTTTAACGTCCCTCGCGTACTGGCGCGCGTTATTTCATCGAGTGGATACGTGCGCAGTTCGCTCTCTCTCTCTCTCTCTCTCTCTCTCTCTCTTTCTCGCTCTCTCCGCTACCACGGCGACTGCCAATAGCGAATTGTTTGCACTTTAATCGATGGCAAAACTGTTTTAAGGGTCAAGTACAGCAGCAGCTGCGATTTTTCCGATTCCCCTGAGAAAGAGGCCTCTCTCTCTCTCTCTCTCTTTCTCGTTTTTTTTTTCTTTTTGCACCATTGGAAATCAACAAATGCGCCGTGCAGTGTACATGGGATTAAACCATTCGCTTTAATCCGATAGCGCACCGCTTGTTCCTCTCGAGGTTTTTCGCGTCATTATTTGCTTGGAGTGCGTTCTTCGTCCCTCTCTCCCCCTCCCCACTCCGGGCTCCTCTCGCCGTTTTTTTTCCTTACTAAAATTGAAGGGAAACGCGAAAGGCAGCACGTACGTAAAGGTTAACGACGAGACGTAATGAAAATAAACGGCGTGGTGTGCAATTAAATGAGTCTCTTTCTCTTTTTGTGTCCGAGAAATGGGCACCTTATAGCGGCTATTGGCTGTGCCTGCGAGATAATGAGAAATACACTTGCTCCTTCCTAACTGACGGTTTTTTTTATTTCTTTTCTTCTGTTCATACCCGGTAGAACTGTTTTTTTCAGCCTTCCACTGCGCAAGTTTTTACTGTGAAAATTGAAATTACCCCCAATTAATGGGCTCTGCGCGGGATACTGGGTACGTTTATCCTGTTTACTCGGATGGTGTATTCTTCGGCGGCCGAACAAACGCAATTAAGTGGCATTAATGCGCGGCAAGGTCGCACGTGCAAATTGAATTAATTTGGCGATTAAAAACTGATAGTTAGGAAGGACAGCTCGAGATACCGATGCGCGAAAGAGCAGTAAAACAAGAGTCCGGCGATGGGGATGCGGAAAGGGCGAGGTACGAATAGAAAAGGACAATGGGTCGTTCGCACGTTTGCCTCGACTGCAGCGCATGCGAGTCCGCGCTCGCGAGCATTATTTATGCCTGTCTCGGTTCACTTAGGCGTAATGTGCACCCGCGCATCGATATATCACACGGGGGTAGCTTTGCCAAAGGCTCTTAAGACTTTCGCGGAGAGAAGCAGCCGCATTCGAGGGCCCATGCATTTGCGTCGTCGGAAGTGTGTCTGTGTGCGCAGCGACGGGCGGACCTCATAACGAGCAAGACGTTTCAAGTGAGAGTAGGACTCCTGCGAGTCGGGGGAATATGCAAGCTGCAGAAGTTGCTATAACGAAGGCCGCTGATGCGACAGCGGGGTTTGTCGTCAAGCCAACAGCGGCGGCGCCGACACACAGAAGAGCTTAGCCTCGAGAGCTTTCCCTTTCAATTGCACTGCGCACAGACGCTGACGCGCGATGCCCCACCTCATCTCTCTGACTTCGGTTTAAAACCTCATTTGTTAAGCGCTCTTCCCACCGCCGTCGCGGCAATGTTTAATTAACGACAATGACTGTCACTCAACTTTGTCGGTACTCTGTCCCCTCTCTCTTTCTCTCATTCTCGCAAGGCCGCGACCGCATCCGCAGCTTTTCTTATGGCTTTCCAATTTCGGACATTTCTTTGTCGGCCTTTTTCCTCCTTCGACGCGCTTCTTTCGAGCCGGGATATCGCCATCTCACAATTACTGGCGTGTCTGAGAGAGCGAGAGAGAGAGAGAGAGAGAGAGAGAAATGAAGTTTAGCACGCTCATGAATTTTCGTGAAAGAAAGGGAGGCAGGAAGACCTACTTATACGAATGGCTTTTGTGGAATTATACGATTTTTATAGGAATAGCAAGCCGTTCTTCTACCTTAGCGAGGCTTCTTCGACTACATCTTCCTCGTTATCGTGGCTTGCCCATCTGCGTGCTACCTTCGGCAAATTTTCATGCTTTTGTTTTCTTTGTCGAAAGGCAACCTCGCTGGGGCTTCTCGTCAAGCGGCACAAGAGCATCGACATATTTCATCCTTAATAAGCGGCTTAATTAAATCGAGCCGGGCACAACGCAACTGATGCACAAAATAAAGAAGGTTCGAGAGAATGGGCGAGGGCGGCGGTGGCCATTCTCTCGGCGCGCCAGGCGACTCGCAAGTGAGTAAATTTCAATTAATGTCCCGTAGGCCGATGCGCGGGCGCGTGCGTGGCCGGTCGCTGGTAGCCGTAAGGCAGGAATCGAGCAAGCGAGGCAGCAAAGTGCCAGCAGATGCGCGCTCGGCCGTGTAAACGGATGAGCCAGCTCTCTCGCCCGGTACGGCCGCATCCTAAACGACTAGATAGCTGCCGGGCCGCTAAGTGGATTAGCGGCCTCCAACTTTTCGGCGGAAGGCGCACACGCGAACGCACTTACCTATCTCTTGATTGGTGATCCGAGCCTCGACCGAGCTGCAGCCCAGGCCAATCAGTAGCAGCGTCAGCAGCAGCGGTGGCAGTCCCATGACTGACGTGCGCGCGAGCCACTTCAACGATCCGACACGGGGGCCCCTTTTCCTCTTCCGAATTTGCACTTGGCTGCAGCTAGCACCGTTGGCTGGGGCGAGGCGCCCTCGACTTCTCGCGACGAAGACCGCCTGTCCGCGCCGCAACTCCACGTCGGCAGCGACGGCGACGACAGCATCACTCTCGCCGCAGCAGCCAGCTAGACGACAGCCTCTTTATTCGTGTCTTGCTCTTGGCGTCCGCGCCAGCACCACCCCATCGTCCGCCCACCGCCACCACCACCGACGCGCACACACGTGTCGTCACGTAACTCGCCTGCCTTTCATCTTTCCATGACTGCTCTTCACTCGTCCGCGCGAGGCTACTCCTGCTCCTTCACCTGCAACACACACCGAACGCACAATTAATTCCTCGCTCCCTTTTCGCCTGCACGCCAGTCTTTTCTCTTTTTTTATTTCTGCTCCCACCCCCCTTCTCCCTCTCTCTCTCTCTCTCTCTCTCTCTCTCTCTCTCTCTCTCTCTCTCTCTCTCTCTCTTCGGTACTCCGTTCGAATTCTTTCGCTCCGATTACGGCCAATATTCCAAAAGAGAAAGAGAGGCGCCTTCCCTCTTTTCCAAGCTTCCTCTTTTTCTCCCTATCTCTCTCTTTCCTCCCAGCGAGCCGAAGCAGTAGCCGTGGTAGTTGAGAGTGAGCGAGTATAAAGGGCTCTAGCCGGAACGAGTAGCTACAGGCTACACCTACTAATCTACGGCGATCGCTCTTCCCCGTAGATAGGTGCTGCTGTAGTCCACTCGTGAGGGGAACGGGAGAACGAGAAGCATCGACGTGTGGATCCAGCTTAGCCGCTCGGTGAGTGCACTTCTCTCTACATTCGCTCACGCCATGCGGTTGCGGCTATATAGCCCTTACACGCTACATTCCCCGCACGCTCCAATCTTTCTCTCTCTCTCTCTCTCTCTCTCGCGCTCTTCTTGAAAAAGAAAAGCCTTTTTAGAAACCGCAGCACTTGATTGGCCGTGCGCGACCACGGGCGTGGGTAACGCCGCTGGATTTTGTTCGATATACAACTCGTTGTACGGCGACGCGACGTGTCTGACATTCTAGAGCGAACCGAGCTAATTAGCGTATATCGAGGCTAAGCGGCTAACGACTAGCGAGTGGCTCGACAATGTTATTAATGAGCGCGAACCGTGCGGTCCATCAAAGTGCGCCCCGGCAAATCACTCGGGGAAAGCTGCACGCGCGCGGAACACGGACTCGCCTGCCGCGCCCTGGCGTATTATCGAGAAATCGGAAAGTTGTCGTATAGTCGAGGTTAATGGAGCTCGAAATTGTCGACCGACGAGACGCGGAGTCACCGCGCGTCACGCCAAATGTCGAAAATCAGCCGCGCGACTACGACGCCGCTGTACGGGCGCAACTCGCTCGCGACAAAAGCGAACAAGTTGTTTTGGAGCGCGCAACAGTTTATATTTAATAACTTCGGCGCGAGCTCCGTTAGCTCGCGCAATGGAAGGGCCCGGTCGCCATTTATTGCTCGCACTGCTCTTCTCCGTGCCGTCTCGTTTTCGTTTTTCAGCTCCGTCCGGTCGCCCAGCCGTACAATTTCGGAAAACAATTTGGACGCACTTTCTGTGGCGCGCGCGCGTGAGAGGAGAGAGAGAGAGAGAGAGAGAGAGAGAAAGGCCGAAAATTACGGCGTAATGAATAGCCGCGTTATTGGATGCTTCCGCTTTAGACGCGCGTCCGCTCCGAATATCTTTTCCCTTTTTTCTCTCATTTTCTTGCTTATTTTATTTCGCGTTGGTTGCTCGTATAAATTCAGCTCCCGGCTGCTGCTCTGCTGCTGCTCTGCTGCTGCTCTGCTGCTCCCAACCACGTGCTTTCCCGGAAGTTTTTCGCAAATGAACGAATTCTTCTCTCTTAGTGAATATAAATTCAGGCGGCGTGTTCCATCCCGCTAACGTTATTTGATATTGGCTTTTTTTCTTTTCCTCGTTCTGACCAGTATTACAGTAGCGCCGAGTCTAAGCTATCGAAAAAATTAAAAGGAACAAGAACAAAGAAGGCGCGCCAGGAGGAACGTTCGGGCTGTTGATTTTATGCAGCTCCGCCCGCGCGCCTATAAAGAGGGGTCTAAGCAAACACGATAAATTATTCATAAGTGGATCGCGCGGCGCGCGGCGATATGTTTATTTAGAAAAGAGAAGGAGGACAAAAGCAAAACACAAAAATTGAAGCGCCGAGGAGGCGCAAACGAGGGTAGCGCCGCCGCCACCGTCGCCGCCGGCCGAAAAGGGAGCAGCTTAATAAGCCGTGGAATTATTTTCAATCGTAAAGCCGAACGAGATAATTTACACCGCCGAATATCCCGGTGCAGCTCCTCATAGTATCAATTATCCTTTCGCTGTCGGAGCGTCGAGTCGGGCGTCTGCGGCCGCGCTGGGCTAAGCAATAATGACGCCGAGGAATGCGAGTCGAGCGATCCTTCCAGGCGCGCGTGTGAAATCAGCGCCGAGGCTTCAATCTTGAGAGAGTGAGCCCTCAAACATCTCCTTTCCATTGGCGGCCTATATTCCCATTATAATTTCTCGGAAATTCACTCCCTCCAATTTTTTTTTATATCCGAGCCACGTGATACGATATATACCGGCACTCGTAAAGAATACCCAATTTTTCGGAGAAACCGGTAACTTTAGGAAATGATTTTCCATCGTATTTCTCGGTGCCGGTGTCCTATGCGACGGAGATGCCTATCTGTTTCTTTTAAAATCTTGCTGTTTTCTTTTTTTTTTCTACCTCTCCTTGTCTTTCGGGCGCCCACTAAGCAGGTGTGTAGTCTGTCATGAATTATTCATGAAAAATGGAAAAATCTTCGGGATCGGTAATCGAAATTTGGTGCGCCAGGAGGGAGCAAAGATTAAGACGAAGGTTACTACTGCGAATAACTTACGAAAGAGTAGAGTGTTCTGTTGTCGAAAATTGTTTTTTTTTTCTGTAGAAAGAATCGATATTAGTTATTTACGGATCTTGGACGAGTCGAATGTCAGTACGGTATGGGGAGGAGGTTTGTAGTATGGGATAGTATAAGGCCAAGGTAGTGAGCGAAGCAAGGTATCTCGGCCTTTTACCATCGCGAGCACTCGCTTCGCTTGCTGCTTCGGCTTTATACTATTCCGTGCTATGAACCTCCTCCCCATACCGCACTGGCACTCGGTTCGCCCAAGGCACATAAATAACGAATGCGGGAGAAGAAGAAATGATATATATTTAGCCGATAAGTCAAAGCAAAGAGATGCAAGGATTGTCGGCAACGTGCGCCTGTGTGCAATGCCGAGTGTTTGGCGATAAGCTTTCGCCCGTAGCAAAAACTGCTCTTTGAGCCACTGATACAATTTATGCAGCGCCGTGCGTGCATTGCGCGAAGCAGTGTATCTCGATCCCGCACACCACCCAAAGCGACGAGAGACAGGCACTTTTGCGTAGTGCAGCAGTCATAGAAAAAAGCCATTTTTATCGCTCGATAGCACTTTTACAAAGCTTCGTTTTCGCAGTGCATTTTAATCCCCCTCCCCTCCTTTCGGACTCATCCGTCGTTCATGTCTCTTTTCACGAGAGAGAGAGAGAGAAAGAGAGAGAGAGAGAGAGATCTTCTTGTCGCCTCGCCTTCACTGCGCGATAACAAGAAATTATAGCCAACGCCGCGAAGACGACGAAAGCAGAAAAGGAGAGAGAGAAGACGAGAGTGAGAAAGAAACCCCCGTAGCCGCAGATGGATATTTCATTGATAGAAGCGAATGGGCTATGAATTATTGAGCAGTGCGCGAGATTCTCCCTCTCTATACCGGCAGAGAGAGAGAGAGAGAGAGAGAGAGAGAGAGAGAGAGAGAAAGAGAGAGAGAGAAAGAGAGAGAACCAGCTGCCGAACGCGAGCTCCTCTCTCTCTCTTTCTCGAGTGCGCTATGAAAAAATTTAGAGCTTCTACGTGGAGTGCACCCCGCCGTCCGATTTTTTTCTATATTTCTCTTTTTTTTTCCTTCCAGGTATAAACCAACGTTGAATTTTACTAAAATTTAATTACATTCCCGGGATTTTTTAGTGACTGGCGTTTTAAAGATTTTTATTTCAATCAAAATGTTCTCGGCCCTTTTTCTCATCTACTATCAAGCGGGGAAATGTTTCAAATTGCAATGGAATTCCAATTTCTCCCGTAGCATTCATTCTGAACCATAATCCAGGAGGACGGGCGCAAATGGGCATCACCACGGCATCGCTTTCTTTTTCAATTGTCGAAGAAGAGAGGAGGGAGGGAGAGTTCGTTAGAGATAAACGTTTTGACGAGACAACACGCGAGTACAAAAGTTTGCGCTCCTGGACGTGAGATTGGGGCGGGAGGAGGGAGACCGCCGAACGGGTTGCATCACTGATACAGCAATAGCGATTATACAAGCTGCATAAAGGGTCAGCGGCCGCTGCGAGGCTGGAAGTAATTCTGTAAAGTGCGAGGCTTTAATGGATACTCGAAACTTGCCGAGCACGCGCGGAGCGAGAGCGAAACACAGAGCAAGGGAGAGAGAGATGCAGAGCGCCAGCAGCGCGCGTCGTTTCCTATTTACGCCGGACAAACATGGAAAATTGTACATTCGAATTGATTATATCCGGTAGCTCTAACAGAGAGCGCCTATCGCCATTCGTTACGCGCGTCGCGGATATATGTGTCTCGCCTGCCGCGTGCCTTCTTTCCATCCCTCCCCTGGGGCGCGAGCGAAAATCGTCCCGACAACTGACGTTTTTCCGAATCGATCGGACGTTCGCGACGCTCTCGCCAAATTATTCATTATTGACGGCGATAGACGGGGGAAAAAAAAAAGAAATAAACGCGCAGGCATCGACGAAACGACGGGGAATCGGGACGCGGGACGAGATGCAAAAGCGGATTATACGCGCGGCACGGGACGAAATCACTTGCCCCCGCTCGTCGTCGCCGCGCGACACGTCTGTCCGCCGTTTGAGCTCTGCGTATGCTTATATTGCCAGGCAATTCTCGTAAAAGCTACAGCTTACCGCCTCACGACATTCGCGTGCAAAGCTCCGAAGATCAACGCTAGCCACTGACATTTCTCAATATACTAACCCCTTCTCACCCGAAAGCCCTCCCCGAGTAAATAAACGCCGACTAATACCACTGTCGGAAAAAAAGATAACGCCAAACGTTTCTTTCTTCTTTTACTTGTTTTTTTGTAGCTACATATCGTCGAGATTCGTCGCCTGCCACCTTGCGAAGCAGCTTTTAATTGCGAGTCTAATCAAAAGAAAAGCTGTGGTCGCGAGACGGTGTCGCAAAAGAGGCAACTAACGAGGCGTGTT